CCGTCGTCTTCTTTTTGTTTTCCTCCTCTTCCTCCTCCTCCTTCCGCTCCGCAGACATTTTCTTCACGGCAGTCGAAGACATTTGACTCGCCTTTGTTACCTCTTCCTTCCTTCAAGAGAAAGAACATGCATGTGGACAATCAATAGATGGTAAAAGAAAAAAAAAAAAAAAAGAGAGAGAGAGAGAGAAACACGCAACAACAAAGGAAAAGAAAACAAAAGAATATAATTATCGTCATCTGATGTCTGGTAAATGCAAAAAAAAAAAAAAAAAAAATACCTCCACAGCAAAGATGCAGATAAAAGAGACGGCAATGACGCGTCATGCACACAAACTCGCGGAGATGAACGTGTCGTGTCACGCTCAAAGGAAAGAAAAAAAAAAAAAGGCAGAAAAGGCAGAAAGGGCAGAAAAGGCAATCCATACATGCATGCGTTGCACGTCACGTCTCCCCCCTTCCTCCGCCTTTTCCTCTCATTAAACTCAACTCCCGAGAGGTCGCTACATTCCCTGCGCCCGCCGCTTTCGCTCTGACAGCTCTTCCAGGAGATGCACCGTCTCCGACAAGTCCTCCTCGATGCGTCGGGCCCAATTTGACAAATCCCCCATTTCCTTCAGCTCCGTGTTGAACTTCCCAAAAAGTGTGGCCCACGCCGTCATCTGCCGCTGAAGCTGAGAGGACCGTGCGGCAATCGCCTTGAGCTCCATCTCAATCTTCCTTTCACGTGCAAACGCAGCAAACACCTCCGCGTTAGCGCTATCGGTAACAGCATCACAGGCCGCCTGTGCGTGTTGCCGCACCTCCTCCCACGCCCGCGATCCAACGGCCCGCAGTTCCGCCTGACGCTCCCTGTGTGCTCGAATCAAACCTTCCAGCACTGACGTTGTATTCGTCGTCGTCGCCGTCGTCGTTGGCGATGGAGAAAACAACGGCGGAGCCCCTCGAACGAAATGCGCCTCGTCGTTCCCGCTGCTCTGTTTCCCATCGCAGACCAACAACGCGGTCTCTTGGCCCTCGTTTCCGGCCCCAGTGGGGCAATGCGGGCATGTTATTTCTTGAGAACTACCCACGTCCTTCTCTCCGGTTGCTTCTGCCGCCTTACTTATCGTGTCACCATCCGTAGACATGACTTTTCTCTACGTAAAGAAAAATGTACCTGAGATACCGCCGTGCACATGCAACGTAATATATATATATATATATTATAGAGAGAAAGAGAGAGAGAAAAGCACGCAATGGAACACAAGTGGTGACAGAAAATTAAACGCCACTCTGCCGAGTTGGGATCTCCTTCTCCTCTCCTTCTCTCCTTCTCTTCTCTCCCTCCCTCCTTCAAAGACGCATGCATTACATGCACGGTTGCTTTCAGTATTTTGCCGTTAATTTCTTAATAGGTGAAAAAAAGATAGGAAAAAAAAAAAAAAAAGAAACAAAGAGAAAGAGAGAGAAAGAGAGAGAAAATTTTTGCACCGTTGCTTCATTTCCTTTTCAAACCGCACACACACACACATACACATATATCCAATGCAGCCTCCTCCCTGTCAAAGGCCTCGTCATCCAAGCCGTGGCCTCGCTTCACCGGCGGTGCGGTTTTGACGTCTGCAGTGGATTGGCAAACGGCATGGTTCCCACCACAGGCACGCTGTACGGCAGCAATTCGTCCACAAGGTCGATGTGCGACAATATCATGCGGCGGCAGCACATGCGGTCAAGCTGCAGGGCGTTGAGCGCCTCCGCCTCAGTGTAGTCCTCGCTAAGCAGCTGCTGGTACTTCTCGTAAAGGTTCCCAATGACTTTCCCGCAGGAGTAGCAACGCACAGGAATAAGCATGAGGCTGACGCTACAAACAAACAGCAGCAGCAGCAGCAAATAACTACAACCCTTCAAAATAAAATAAAATTAAAATAATAAAAAAGAACAAGCATGGGGACCAAATACACATAATTAAACGCATACACACTTTATTTTCTTAGGGAAACCACATGTAATTGGTGGAGGAGGGAAATGAAAGCTCCTTCCTGCACCGCCCCCTCTTTTTGTTGCTGTTGTTATTGTTGGTTCCCTCTTCCCTCATCCCCCCTCTTGAAAGAAGAATAAAAAGACGCCTCCGCCCCCCATTTCTCTTTGCTCCGTTGAGAACTGCGGCAGAAGGGACGGTGAGCATACATGAAAAAGTGGCACGCATCCGGTAAAGAAATGGCAACGGGCCAAATGCCATTCCGCCACTGAATCCAAAAAAAAAAAAAAAAAAGGAGAGAGAGGGAGAGAGAGAATGCAGACAGACAGCCACACGAGGCGTGGAAAAAAGAAAAAAAAAACACCCCCCTTTCTCCTCATGGTCCGTGGAGTCCAGATGACATCAACACATGTACAGAAAAACAGAGACACCCTTCCAAAGAGGCAATCTTTCTCTTTTCTATTTCCTCCCTCCCTCCCAGGTCTGCGGCGTTGAAGCCCCACAAGTCATGTCACCTCCCCCCACCTCTTCCCACTCTACTCTATTGACCCTCTTACTCCCTCCCCTCAATGACGCGGAATGATCGTCAACATCCTCCCTCAGAGAAAGTAGTCAGGGGTTTTCTTCGACACCTGCGCCTCGCCTCGTCGCGGGGCGGGATCAAACTGAAAAAAACATTTATTCATGTGCTCGTCGAGCTCCAGCAATCCGGCAAGATTACCGCAACGGTAGCAGTAATTTGGTGCGCTAAATATCGTCACGAGACGATCATTATGTGCCCAGCTGTATCCGTCCGTCACCAACTGATGTGCCCGTGCAATCATCTTGAGGCCGTTGTTGTGACAGAACTGCTCGGAGATGTCGGCGCCAAAAGTAAAGCCGGCCCCACGTGGACTGATGCCCCACCCATCACGGTCTTCAGGATCCGACCACAACAAATCGCACATGGGCCCCTCGTGTGGAACCTCCTGGACGCGCTCTAAGCTACGAATATGCGCCAGACTATCCAACGTGGGAGAAAGACCGCCGTGAAGGCAAAAGATCTCGTTTTCCACTACCGCTGCCAGCGGCAAGTAATCAAAAAGATCGGTTAGCAACTTCCAGACATTGGCGCTGCCATATTTGCGTACACACTCATCGTAAAAGCCGTAGACCTGCGTAATCTGGCGCGATTCATGGTTACCACGAAGAATCTGAACCCGTTCAGGGTATCGTATCTTAAAAAGCAACAACAATGTGACTGTCTCCACACTGTAGTAACCGCGGTCAACATAGTCGCCCATAAATAAATAATTCGTATCAGGTGGAAGACCACCAATCTTCAGCAGCTCCAGCAGATCATGAAATTGACCATGTATATCGCCACATACGGTCACGGGTGCACGCACGGTGTGCACATTCCCCTCCTTCTCCAGAACCTCCTTGCCTTTCTGGCACAGCTTTGCCACCTGTGGCTCGCTCAATGGTTTTCCCTGTAAAACATACTGAATCAATTCATCCACATTGAAACTGTTAGGCTCACCCACCGCACCCGGTGGTGTGGGGACCGCCACTGCCGTCCCTGTGGTTGTGGGTGACGCTATCGTTTTATTTGCAATTCCAGTGGGTAACGCCCCCTCCATATATGTATATATATATATATATATATATACTGTGTGTATGTGTATTTTATTATTTACTTTTTTACTTCTCTCTCTCTCTTATTTATATATATGTATATGTATATAAACTCTTTCGTCCTCCTCTTTGATTTGTGGAATTTATTCTCGTTCGTCACTCGTTTATTCTTCTTATTCCCTCTGTCTCTATTATCCCTTCTCTCTCTATGTATGTATGTGCGTATCCCTCCTTATCGTCCTACTCTTTTCTCTTGCAATTGCTTCCACTCCCCACCCACTGCAAGAGACTGAGATATGCCGCTGGTGCACGCTAACAATAAATGTGAATCTCGGCCTCAAAAAAACAAAGAAAAAGAAAAAAAGAACAGCAAAGAAAGACTTTAAAAAATAAAATAAAAAAGAATTTAAAAGAAAAAAAAAATGGAAATAAGGCCACCAATAAAAAAAAAAAAAGAAGAAGAAAGAAAGAAATGAACATGTATACATAAAGAAGAAATAAACAAGATTAAAAAGGGATGGGGAGGTACCAAATCCAAATAATAATAATAATAATAATAAAAGAAGATTAAGTAAGTGGAAGTATAAACACATGCATCATCATCACCGTCCTCCGCCTCCGTGTATCCGCCCTACTTCCATATGTATATACTTTCCAAATACAAACACAATCTTCCTCCTCCCCCCCTCCCCCCCCCCCCCCAGAATCATACATGAAACCCGTTAGAACTTATGCATCTAACCATTCATCGAGGTTAAACTCTGTCAGCTGCAACACGCAGTCGCATATATCCGTGATGGAGTCATTTTTCCCCTCGTCCGTCATTCGGGTCGTATGTTTACTGCCACCCACCCCACGACGGCTGCTGTCACACGCGTACCCCTCATCCCCAGAAGGCGGTAGAGAAACCGAATGGGAGAAGTCGTTTGTATCGTTCCAGGAATCACACCCGTCCATCACGCGGGCCCGCCAATTTGTTATCGCCTCTTTTCCTCCATCGCCAACGGTGTCACCACAATACTCCCCGCGATTTCGTTTCTGCCCCAAAGCCGGCTTTGCCTTCCTCCGAGACTTCCGTTCCGTCAGGCTGCTGTTCTGCAGGCGTTGTAGCCGCTCCGCTAACGCCGCCTCTATCTTCTCTCGCCGCTGACGCTCCATCCAACGTTTCTCCAGCACCGCCCGACGCTTCAAGTCATGCACCAACGCCCCCCATTGCAGCGGCTCATCACATAAAGGGCATGGACACGGCTGGGAGGGCAAAAGTGTCAACGATGGAGAAGACGCACAGCGACTCTCTTCAAATGCAGAAATATGGCCACTGGAATCAAGAATTGAGCCGGCATCCCTCGACGAAGAGAAGTCTGCATTGTTCACAGAAAGTGAATGAAGCTGCCGCCCGGATGCATGAGCGTCCATAGTCCCATCATTGCTATCATCCTTTATTTTGTTACTGTATTCACCGCTGCGCTCATTTCTGGTTGACTGCCCCATCGTCGCATCTCGTTTCTGCATCGTTTCGTATGTGAACCACATAGCGAGACACGCCAAGTGAGCACGCAGAGTACAGAACGGGGTGCGAGAACACCGTACAAAATAGGGCGATCGAAGTGGCAGGGAACATAAGGCGCATGGGCATTGATTTGCTTCCAGTAACTCCTTCACTCTGGCGTGTTGCCGGAAAATATCCTCCTCAGACAAATACCTGCAACTCCGCACACGTCGGCTGGGGGCGTCCGCTTCAGGCTGGCTGCTGAGCGGTGCCGTCACGAAGTAGACGCAGCCATCCCCTGCGGTACCATCTCCTCCTGACACCCCGTCGAGGTAAAGACTCATAAAACGCTCCTTCGTAATCTCCTCTATACGCAGTAAAGACGTTGCGACCAATGGAGGAATTGACGGGACACGTCCTTGCAGCTCCGCCACCACCCGCCCAACGTGTTCCGGTTCAAAAATATGTAACGTCAACTGCAGCCGTGCAAAAAGGTCGGCACGTAACAAAAGGTGCAGGACACCTACCGCATACGGAAGACGGTGTACGCCACGCAATTGTGTCATCTGCGTCTTCAGGCGGGTGGACTTCGTTGGGTGCTGCCAACACCACTCAAATTTGAGAGCGATGCGGTCCTCTCCAAAGCCTGAGACGCAACAGAGCAGCTCCCACGGACGCCCACGACGTTTTGTGCGCCAAGCACCACTCACAATTTCCCCGTTGTGTTGCCGAAGACGTCGAATGGGATCGACGGTGTACCCAATGTAGTACTCCCCCGCGCACTGCGGGTCTAGACTCGTGAGGAGGTACACGCAGTGGAACCTCGTGTCCATTTCTCCCCCCGTAACGTATCGTGCAGTGGTGTACTGAAATCAAAGGACCTTCCGCCACACGGACAGAAAAAGGAATACGCACAGAAAAATAAATAAAATAATAAATAAAGGGTAGGAAGTCTATCTATCTCTACAAAGCAAATGGCCTAATCAAGGCAGAGGAAATACCCACAAGAAGTCACCCAATGAACGGCTGTGGATGTCGCTCGCACTCTCCTCTTCCACCACTGTTACAAAAGCCGCATGAAATGTGAAGAGTGGGTGCGTGGAGCACCAGAAAGGGGAAAAATCGACCCCCGAGCACACGGCTATTGTATTTAAAAAAAAAAAACGCTAAATAAGAGAAAAAGAAAAAAAGGTGTGTAAAAACAAAGCTGCAGTGTGGTATCACCACATTCCGCAATACATATCAAGTAGAAGCAGCAGCGGCAGCAATAAAATAAAATAACATCAGACAAATCATACAAACATGCAGGCTCGCTCTCGAGCAGCTTTCTTGCTTCGATGCCACCTTTCTTCATCCTGCAATTCGTCCTGCTATTGCCCCATCAGAAAGGAGAACACAATCAAAGGGGCAGAAAGAGCTTGGCAGCGCTGGTAGCCGCCGCAGTGGTAGTGGCAGCATTGGCAGGCGTCTGTTTCTTGCCTCTTGTCTCTTGTTTTGTTTTTCCCGTTTATTCATTGATTTTTCCTTCCAAGAGAGGGAGAACGGGGCAGGAGAAATAAAAAAGAAAAAACAAGAAGGGAAAAGAAAAAAGAAAACCCCCCGCCCACCGCCTCCCCACTCACCAGAAAGGCGCCATTCACACCGCAGCCACAACACCAAAAGAAAAAGAAAAATGGAATGAAAGGCAATAAGTCCCCTCCTCTTTCCCTTTTGAACGTTGCTGAAGCCGCCCGTTTGTTTGTTTCTCCCTTACAGTTGGTTTCCTTCCATCCTTTCGTTTATTATTTGCCGCCTTTCTTTCCCCCCTCCGTTACCCCACACACACGCCAACACACATAGACACAGAGAAAAAGGCAGGCACGCATGTCTCCTCCCTCCCTCACTCACTGTCAACGGCCTCGCCTCTTCTCCGCCGCCCGCTTGCCAGCTCCTCTACTTCTCGCTGTTTATCCCCCATCCCTGACACCGACCCTCCTCCTTCAAAGCGAGGGGGTTCACTACCTGGCAGAGTGAGGGGAAGGGTGCCTGCCCTCTCGCGTGTCACATGTTGCCTCCACGGACCCCTTTCACTCCCATGCATAACGGAAAGGCAGGCAGATAGGTCTCACATATGCTTGCACTCACGTTCGTGGGCGCACACAAGAGCATCTTCTTTAAACCACACACACACACACACACACACACACACACGCTCTTCCTTCTTCGCCTCATCTCTCATACTCCCTCCGCGGGCCATAATCACACAGGCCACACAAACACACACAAACACCACCGTCTGCAGGGCGCACAAAATACATGTGTCTCGCTGTGGAGAACTCACCCGATTCGAAGCAAAAATGAGAGCAAGAGAGAGAGAATCATCACTTGCAATAACGATCACATCCATAACGATGGAAGTTTTTATAATCATACAAAAAAAAAAACAAAAAAAAACAAGAGAGACAGAGAGGAGGTAATAACCGCCCAAGGACAACATAATTTGTTGTTGTTGCTGTTGTTGTTGTTGTTGTTTTAAAAGAGGTGCACCACAGAAAAGAAAAAAAAGAAAAAGAAAAAAACGCGTTAAAAAAAATTTGCATTTTTCTATTCAATTGACTTCTTCACCTCACGGTGCAGGTGGACAAGGAGCTGATCATAGCCCATGGAGCCACCCTCGTTCTCCTCCTTGAATTGCCGAAAAAACGCCTCCTCGCCGCGGTCCTTTTCGTGAAGAATCACAAAACGCCGCATTCCATCATCCCGCATGAGGCAGGTGTACAATACGTTCTTCAGCCTTTCGCCAAAGTTCTCAAAAAAAACCGTGCGACCAACATCCAAGGCATTCGTGGTGCCAAAGAGTTCAAGCGAAACTTCCGGCACAACAGAGGAACCGATCCACAAATACACAATTCGTGCCTGCTCGTCACAGAGCACATAAACCCCATCTGTCGTGATGCTGTCAAAAATGAGCTGTTGCCAGCCTGGCAGAACGCAGTGGCCCGTCTCTGGATCTATCACGCCGCTTGTGGGTTCAGAAAGGAGATGATGAACGGCATACAAGGTCGGATACAAGTACGTCACACACTGGTGCATGGGAATCGTCATGAGCAAGAAAAGTTTCTGCACGCGATCGTCAATAGGTACGGTGGTGCCCTCCACTAGCGCATCGGCTTTCATAAATGAAAGCACAAACAATGGTATGAGCCGTAGGCGTGAAGGCATCAGCAGAGACGATGTGGCATTGGAAGTGCACACACGACGGTAGGCAATCAACATTTTCAATACACGGTCCTGTGCAGTACTACGGGCATATTGTAGACCTTTGTTGACAGCGTTCCCAATCGCCTCGTGGATATATCCCATAAGTGTCGCCTCCAAATCGGCCTCAAACACACCCGAAAGTGTCGTGACTACTGACATACGAACAGAATGCAC